GGTTAACCAATTTTTTACACGATTATAGGATATCAAATCGTCGCGTTGTTCGATATGTTTCCAAAAAAGAAGCAATTACACCAAAAGTTGTCATAAAATCAGCGGAACAATTTCAAACATTAATTCAAGCAATTTCGCCAGATTACGATCCCGATTTTGTAATTAATACAGACCAAACAGGATGTGAGCATGGAGTTAATGTTTCGCGAACTTACACGTACACTGGAGAAAAATTAGTTCAATTGTACATAGGCGATTTAAATAAAGTTTCGCATTCATACACCGCCCAGTATTCGCTGACGAAATCCGGGAAGTTATTAAATAAAGTATTTGTTTGTTTGCAAGAATTTTCTGATAATTTTGGAGTACGCGTACAAAAAGATGTAGATAAATTATTAGAATTATGTAAAAATGTTATTACAAGTTCTAAATCGGGCAAATTAACAACATCATTATACGCACAGTATTTAGAAAATGTTGTTAAGCCGTATGTCGGGGATAATTTTTTATTTATTGTTGATTCTTGGGGAGAACAAAAAAACATCCAAATGTATAACGAAATATTTCGCGACAAAAACAATAAACCAACATGTAATTTACAAATTATATTGCCAAAATGTACTCCGATATGTCAGCCGTGCGACGTTTATTTTTATCGACAAGTGAAAATTATAATTAAGAAAATACAAAACTGTCCAGATGTAATTTCACAATCAGATGACGAAAGCAAACAATTAAATACTCGTGCTGATGCGATTCGTATACAATCTTTAACTCATTATCTGTTATCAGCGCCGAAATTTAAATGTATGCTTCAATATGCATGGTATGCATCCAAATTAGCTGACGATAGAGAAATATTTTTAAATGTGAATCAATTATGCTTTCCTTCAAACATTTATAATAAAACATGTGTATGTGGACAACATAATTCATTTATTAAATGTTCGTGGTGCGAAAAAATTTTATGTTTCCAATGTTTTTACATCAACTTTCATCCACAACATTGCGAAGCGATGGAAACCTTTTATCGTATGTAAATAAATATATAATTATAAAAGAAAGTTTATATTGTACAAAATATTCTTGACAAAATAACACATGTACATTGCATGAGAAATATAATCAGTTCACGACTTTAAAACTGTTTTTTATTTTGTATTGCGTTCAAATATCCCGAAATGTCCTTATTTTTACATAGAAAAACAAAATAAATTTAAAAAAATAAATAATGATTAATGTAGTGTCTTTTATATATCCAAAATTGAAAAAAAAAAGCGAAGCAGTCGTCGGCGGGACTCGAACGCACGACGCCGGCGCAAAAATGTATGGACGGGAGCCTTAGTCGGCTCAACTACGCCGCTTACTCCAAAAAGGTTTTAATGTTCTTCTTTACATGGGACATAGTTGCGTGACCCTAACTTTGTTTTGTAATTTCTCCTAAACGAAGGCCCATTGGCACAAACGCCTTTAGGGTTTTTATTAGCTACATGTAAACTATCGAACGCACTATGACTCGTTGGAAAAGCAATTTTCTAATTGGCGTCATCTCCTTGTGAGTCTTCTTATTTTCAAACGGTACATTAGCCATTTTACTTTGGATACAGTTTGCACATTTCATGATATTATTTTCTAATTTATCTGGTAAGCCTTCTACTAATTTACCATTAACCAATTTATTTGAATATTGAAAATTTACATGACCTAACGCTCTATGCCATTTTTCTTTATCTGTCAGTTTCACTGCATTTGCATATATATCATTTTTTTCATTATCGTAAAAAAAAACTTTTCATGATGTACAAACCATTACTCTTATCGGCAACAGCTGTTAATTTTCTATCTTTATTATAAATTTTAGCAATGTGTTCTCTAGCTACAATAGTATTGTTTTCAGTTATTTTAGAAAGACTCAATAAGTTCCTTTTTATACCTTTTACAAAATAAACATTTTTCAAATCAACTTCTACTTCATTATAATAATTTTTGAAATAAGTTTTGACTGTACCTAACTTTGTTGCTTTCATATTTTTTCCATCAGGTAATTTTACATCAATAGGACTTTTTAATTCAACGTACTTACAAAAATACTCCTTGTTGTTGATAATGTGGTCTGTACAACCACTATCTAACAGCCACTCAATTTCGTTATCATTTCTATTCACATTTTTCATTACATCATTTACATTTACTTTAACAACTTGCGTTGCCCATGACTCTTGTGAATTCTTCTTGTAATTCTCGTTGGATGGTCCTGCCGCTTGATGACCTTGTCCTCTGCCTCGACCATAGCCTCTTTGCGTCGTACTCTCACCTTTGCTCAAGTTTTTTTCTTCAATTTTTGTTTTGACATACTCGACGGTTCTTTGCTCTTCAGGTACTAGATCAATAAAATCTCCAATGTAGCAGTAATTTGGTGGTAGAGCTTTAATTAAATATCTCATTTTTTCTTCTTCTCTTAGTTGTCCACCAGCTGATTTCAGCTCGTTACATGCCTTTTCAAATTCAACAAAAAATTCTTCCACATTACTGTAATTCTTCAACTTGACTTCTTCTAATTTTCCTCGGTTTATTATTTGCAGAGATGTCGATTTTGTTGAATACATTTTTTCTAGCTTTGACATCATCTCAAACGTCGTTTTACATTCGCTAATGTATTCCAATTGCTTATCTGACATAGCACTGATTAAAATGGTTTTTGCTTTGAGATCACTTTTCTTCCAAGCATCTTCGTTATCAGTAGCAGCTCTTTCTCTTCTTGCCGGTTCTTGACAATCTTTATATTCTAAAATGGTCGTGAGTCGGAATTTCCAACTTGCGAAATTTATTCCATCAAACACTGGAATACTTATGTCGTCGATTTTTGCTTGCCTAGCCATTTCTTCTGCTTCTTTAGTTTTCAAATTCTTGTCGATTTCAATTTTCAAAATCACAGTTTTTTTCAATATTTTCAGGAAACTTTTTCTCAAAAAATTTCTGTCTTCTTTGTTTAGCTTGAAGTCTTGAATTTTTAGTTGTTGCTCAAGTTCTTCAGTTTGTGTTTTATCTCCCGAAATTAAATTTTTTATCTTTGATTTTTGATCCGCGAACATGTGCTTAGCCACTAAATCTCCATGTGCTCACTCAATCCTCACGTCAATCACGTGATTTTCACCAATTACGGATGTTTTTCAGCAACCACGCTCTGCTACTATGTTTTAATTACTGCTTATCTTTATTATTTATTTTATTTATTGTTTGAGATGTTAAGTAAAATTTTTGTAAATTCTAGAATTTTCCATCCGCGTCAATAATAAAAGTCACGGTCTTTTTTGTATGTTTGTCACGGAAAAAAGTTGTCATAAATTAAACCTGTCATCTCATAAACATTCTTTGCACACAAACAATTAACGGTATCACAACCGTTCCGCCGAATAATTATTTTCAGTGAGCATGCGCGGCTTACCACGGGCGCCTCTTTTCACCAATAATTATCGCGATCGCCCGCGCGCGCATGCTTTCTGCCAGCCGTCTTCCGTTAATTTTGACAGCGGCCAATAATGAGCTGTGCCCTCGAGTCACCTCGAGCACACTTAAAATTGCTCGCAATAATTGGCGCTTCCCAAAAAAGTGGGTTTTCTTCGGAAACCCATAAAAGAAAGCTCGCACCCGAAATCCGGGCCTTATCGCTTTCCGTAGTGACCGCATAACGCAACCGCATATTATTCTGATCCGCTAAAATCTCGTTGACGACCGCCGCTTATTCCGCACTTTGTTCTCGATTAGATTTTCACTGAAATATTTAAATGTTATAAGTCTTGTTCAAGTAATTTGTAATTAAGTGTGTATTGAAATTAAACTTTTTTAATACAAAAGAAAGGGTGACTTATCCTATTGTGTCGCGCGATCCTCTCTCACGCAGCGCGTTTGCGAACATATTTCTGGTCCTTCGAGCCGGATCCATCGTGCCGGCATCCGCAAGTTTGTGAACGTGTCTCTTGGTGCGGTCAGTGAGCTCGTAGTTCGACATGGATGTGAACACCTTGATCGATTGCCAACGTGAGGTCCAAGTCCGTATTTCACGCTCCGTGGAATACTTGAAGAAGCTGGGCACGACCAACATCATCGCCAGTGCCGTATCTACGCGCATCAGGATCCTAGATCAGCTGTGGACGAAATTAGAGGCCCAGCATGATCTCATTCGCGCGGCTCTGAAAGAGAAGTTTAGTGACAGCGAATACTTCAAGTCGGAGTTGCATGGAGATACTGAAAATCTTTACGTGGCACAACGCAGTATCCTGGATGGCTACGCTGAACATTTCCGGAAGCCAAACGTATCTCCATCCGTCGACGTCGCATCAAAGTCGTCGCTGCCGCGCATCAAGTTGCCGCCGTTTTCTGGCGCCTACGCTGATTGGCCGTCATTTCGTGATCTCTTCCTGTCCGTTGTGAGCAGCAATTCCATCTCAAACATCGAGCGTCTTCACCACCTCCGCTCGTGTTTGACAGGTCAGGCTGAAAAATTGATAAGATCACTACCTGTCACAAGTGACAATTACGATCGCGCTTGGGCAATCTTGAACAAGCATTACGACAACAAAAGAGAATTAATCCGCTCCAACTTTGCCACGTTTACCGCCGTGCCAAAGATGAAGGGAGATACCGCCGAGGAGCTGAGCCGCATCCACAACGCTGTCACCGCCGCCATCAATGCACAGGAGAGTATTGGACGTCCTATCAACTCGCACGGGATGGACCTGTTCAATCACCTGGTCATCGAATTGTTCGACGCACGCACTCGTCTCGAATGGGAGTCAGCCACGTCAGACTCCACCGAACCACCACAGAACGAGGCACTTCTCGACTTTATTAGTCGACGGGTATTGACCCTCAACGCCGCACGACCGAGGAGTGTCACAAAGGGAACTGGAGAGGCATCGCGATTTGCCAAAGCGCACGTCACCAGACATCAAGGCACAGATTCGCCTCAGTGTGCACTGTGTCGTGAAAAACATACACTGATGACCTGCAAGGAGTTCAAGGCCAAGACCGCGGTCGAACGGAAAACATTCGTGGAGACCAACCGACTGTGCTTCAACTGCCTGGGCAATCACTTTTTGTCACGGTGTCAATCGAAGAAGAATTGCCTCACTTGCAACGCACGACACCACACCATGCTGCACGGGGCATCCACGTCACCACCGTCCGCTGAGGCCACTTCACTTGCCACCACACTGGCCACCTCACGGCAGTGTGAGAGTCACAAGGCCGTCCTTCTTGCAACTGCCCGCGTCAAGGTCGCGGACCGCTACGGACCACACGAGGTTCGAGTCTTGATCGACCAGTGCTCCGAGGTGTCCATCATCTCTGAAGCGCTGGCTCAACGTCTTCGTCTTCCTCGAGCTTCGACGAATCTGTCCATCTTTGGCATCGGAGGGACTCGCTCTGGATCGGCTCGTGGCAAAGTCACCCTGGACATCACATCCGACGTGACCAACGCCGAGCTTCGCGTGGTCGCCTTTGTGTTGCCTCGCATCTCACTACAACAAGGCACCGCTCAACGCGAGAATTGCAGCTGGCCTCACATCCAGGGACTCCGGTTGGCCGACCCGCGGTACCTGGATGACGACCCTGCGGAGCTACTTCTTGGTGCAGAGGTCTACTCGTTGATCCTTGAGGAAGGCCTTCGCAAGGGCGACTCACGCATGCCGATCGCCCAGCAGACCAGCTTGGGATGGATCCTGTCCGGAGGCTACGACTCAGCAGTCACCGACGGACATCGCCGCACGTTTCAGTGCACCGCCGACAACGACCTCGCTGACCTGGTGCAACGATTCTGGGAGCAGGAACGCGAGCCAGCAGCTGGGATCGTGCTCACCGCCGACGAAGCCAGATGCGAGGACATCTATGTGCGCACAGTCACACGCACGTCCAGTGGAAGATACGTGGTGAGGCTGCCATTTGCCTCACCGCCGACATCACTCAGCGAAACTCGTCGACCTGCAGAGCGCCTCCTGGAAGCAATGGAGCGGAAGGGAGCCCGTGATGCTCGGTTCGGTGATCTCTATCGAGACTTCATGGACGAATACGAAGACCTGCAACACATGGAGAAAGTTAGTACGTCTACTACAGGTTCTGGCCCCAGGTGCTACTTACCGCATCACGGGGTCCTCAAGGAGTCGAGCACGACCACGAAGCTCAGGGTTGTGTTCAACGGCTCCCAACGCACACGGTCCGGAGAGTCGCTGAACTCGCACCTCCTCACTGGAGCTAATCTCTTGCCAGCACTCGCTGACGTCTTACTCCGTTGGCGTTGGCATCGGTACGTTTTCGTCACGGACATCGAGAAAATGTACCGACAAATTCTTGTGCATCCGGAGGATTGTCGCCTGCAAACCATCCTGTGGCGCCACAACAACTCAGACAACATCCGCGAGTACGAGTTGAAGACCGTGACCTACGGACTGGCGTGCGCACCCTTCCTCGCCATCAGGACGCTTCACCAACTTGCTGCAGACGAAGAGGCACGATATCCACGCGGAGTCAGGGCGCTGCGACAAGACTGTTACGTCGACGACGTGGTCACCGGTGCTGACAGCCTGGCGGATGCCATCAAACTCCAACAGGAACTACAGAGTCTCTGCATGGCGGGCGGATTTCCTTTGCGAAAGTGGGCTGCCAACAATCAACAGGTGCTCACCGGAATTCCGCCGGAACATCGGCTTCAACGCGGACCGCGCTCGTGGGAAGGAGAGAGCCACGCTACCCTGGGTCTTCGATGGCATCCTCAAGGGGATTGGTTCTCCTTCACCATACGTCCGCGTTCAACCACCGACCTCACGAAGAGACGAGTCTTGGCTGAGACAGCTCGACTATTCGATCCGATGGACTGGCTAGCGCCTGTCGTCATCCGAGCCAAAATTCTGATCCAGTCTACGTGGCTTCAACGGCTGGATTGGGACTCTCCGCTGCCTGATCAGGACGCACACCGCTGGAGACAACTGTTGAATCAACTTCCGTTGCTGGATCACATCCGTGTGGATCGTTGGCTCAGCACCAGAGATGACCAGTCGCAATTGCAGCTCCATGGGTTTGCCGATGCATCGGAGCGAGGATACGCCGCCGTCGTGTACATCCGCAACGCTGCAACAGAGAAGACATCAATTAATCTGCTGATGGCAAAATCGAAGGTCGCACCAGTCAAGCAGGTGTCGTTACCTCGATTGGAACTTTGTGCCACTGCATTACTCACCACGCTCATGCTGCATGTACGCACTACCCTCGGCTTGGCTGCTACGCCGGTGCACCTGTGGTCTGATTCTAAGGTCACCCTTCACTGGATTCGCGGACACTGCACCCGCTGGAAGACTTTTGTTGCCAACCGAGTGTCGCAGATCCAGACCCTGCTTCCAGACGCTCATTGGAGACACGTCGCTGGACGAGAAAACCCTGCAGATTGTGCATCGCGTGGTGTTACACCTGAGGACTTACGCAATCATAAACTGTGGTGGACAGGACCTACCTGGCTGTCAGGAGACGAGGCTGCCTGGCCTGGTGCAAACATCGACGTCCCAGAGGATGACCTCCCTGAGCAACGAGTCACCAGCCTGGTAGTCAAGGCGCCAGTCACTACCGAACCGGACCTTCTTCTGCGGTTCCCGACGCTGCAACGGCTGCTGCGAGTCACTGCGTGGTGTCGTCGATGGCTCAACCCGGTGAGACGTGACGCCAGACCTGGCCGTCCATTGCAGCCTGACGAGCTGGACTCCGCGCTGTTTCGATGGCTGCGAGTGGTGCAGGCGCTCCACTTTCCGACGGACGTAGCCGCGGCCTCTGCTGGACGCACTACTCCACCGCAAAGCCACCTGGTGAAGTTGAGTCCGTTCCTCGACGATCAAGGCGTACTGCGCGTCGGAGGACGTCTCAAAAACTCTCAACTTCCGCTCGACGAGAAACATCCGATGATCATCCCGGCGGCATCCTGGCTGACTCGGCTGGTGATCGATTCCTGCCATCGACGGACACTGCACGGGGGTGTGCAGCCGACACTCGGCCTGCTCCGCCTGCGCTTCTGGGTACCTCGAGGAAGAACCGCCGTCAAGCAGCAGCTACATCGATGCGTTACCTGCACTCGATGGCGTGCTGCCACGCCACAGCCTCAGATGGGTAACCTTCCTCGGGACCGAGTAACGCCAACCCGACCGTTCCTCAGCACCGGCGTGGATTACGCAGGACCCATCCTCCTTCGGACCAGCAAGGGACGTGGACACCGCGCGCACAAAGGGTACATCGCAGTCTTTGTCTGTTTCTGGTCGAAGGCCACTCACTTGGAAGTCGTCTCCGACTACACCTCCGAGGCTTTCATCGCCGCTCTGCGCCGCTTCGTCTCCCGCAGGGGCCTCTGTGCTGAGATCTACAGCGACTGCGGCACGACATTCATCGGGGCAGATCGTACGCTGCGAGGTCTCTTCGATGCAGCGACAGCCGAAGGTCATCGTATCGTCCTCGCCGCCACCGCTCAAGGAATCCGCTGGCACTTCAACCCGCCAGCGGCCCCGCACTTTGGTGGTCTTTGGAAGGCTGCAGTGAAGTCGACCAAGTTCCACCTCCGTCGGGTGATCGGCGAGACGACCCTCACGTTCGAGAAGCTGAGCACACTCCTCGCCCAGATCGAAGCTTGTCTTAATTCTCGTCCATTGCAGGCACTCTCAGATGACCCAGAGGACGTCTCGGCGTTGACTCCCGGTCACTTCCTCGTCGGGGCGCCGCTACTCGCTGTGCCGGAACCGTCATTGACAGGGCAGACGGTATCCACCTTGTCACGCTGGCGTCATTTGCAGCAGATGAGAGATCACTTCTGGCAGCGATGGTCGTCCGAATATTTGCACGGACTAGCCTCGCGCACCAAATGGCTCAAGGACGAAGCTGCACCCCACGTCGGCGATCTCTGTCTCGTGCGCTCCGAGCTCACCCCACCGAGCCGATGGCCACTGGCTCGCATATCGCGACTGCACCCCGGGGACGATGGGATTGTACGCGTGGTGTCAATCCGAACGGCCACGTCCGAGCTTGTGCGCCCACTCGTCAAGCTTGTTTTCCTTCCGGGCGTGAACGACGCACCTACACCGCACGCTGACACTTCGTAACGTCACTCATTACACAATCATCACATCATGCATCATAGCATCTGTCGCACGTCACTCATCTCATCCACCACCGCACAAAAAAAAATTATTTCGTTATCACCGCTCACTGCATTACACACTCGCCGTTCACATCAACCACGCGTTTTCACCGGATCAGCTGATTATTTCACTCCACGCGTTCACCACGTGCCCTCATCGGCTCAGCTGATCGATTCACACCACGCGATCACCACGTGTATTTCGCCGCGCCGGCGCGCCCGCCCCACCATCGATCGCTATCGGAATGTGATCCGCGCCGGAACCACCACCAACCTTTGTCACGTTGCGATAAGGCGGGCGGGAATGTTTGAGATGTTAAGTAAAATTTTTGTAAATTCTAGAATTTTCCATCCGCGTCCTTTCCAATTTCATAAAACTTGTAACAAACGTAATAAAAAACAACAAAATCGGAATGATCCTGACAGATCAATATCCGGGAATCAATTCCCAAGAATTTAAGAAATTCCTAGAAGAAAAAAAAATACCGATTATTTTTACGGCGGTAAAGACACCATTTTCGAATGGTATAAACGAGAGACTAAACCAAACACTAATCAACAAAATAAGATGCAAAATAAATAAAAGACGAACAAAATCAGCTTGGACAACAATAGCACAGGAATGCACAAAAAAATACAATCAGACGATCCATACAATAACTGGATTTGCACCCGCATATTTACTAGAAGGAAAGAACATTACAATTTTACCAGAAAAAATAAACCAAGAAAATACACCAAAGAACTTGCTAAAAGATCGAGAATTAGCCTACAAGAATAGTATAAAATCACATGAATACAATAAAAAACTATTCGACAAAAACAAAAACAAGGTGGAACTAAAAGAAGGAGACTCAGTATTCGTAGAAAACGGGAACAAACTAAACAGAAGAAAATTAGAAGAATTAAGAATAGGACCATATAAAATTCTGGAAAAAGTATCCAAATCAATTTACAAAATAAACACCGGACACAGGAAAACAAATTCAACATTATTCCACATAATAAAACTGACCCCAGCACCACCGGCAACAATACAGATAGAAGACACACAAAACATAGAAGAGAACGTGGCTGTTCTGTTTCCAGACAACTCTAGGGGATGACTTTTCCCTAGGAGGGAAAATGTAAAGAAAGTGTATTTCTTCAATTAGAATCTGCCGCTCAACGTGGCCATAATCAGTAAATATCAGATGATAAGCGAAAACCGATTTTACCGTCGCGTGAGAGAGGTAGAGTAGAATATAGAGAATTAAGGAAATAAGGGATAAGCACGTGTATGTGAAAGTGATAAGAGGAGAATTACACCAAGGAATAAACTTTAATGTCGTTTCGTTATTACAGAAACTCAGTACTGCTTATTTGATAGTGTGGGACCCCTTAACCTCAATCCATAAAGAAATACCATTATATATATATATATATATATATATATATATATATAATGGTATTTCTTTATGGATTGAGGTTAAGGGGTCCCACACTATCAAATAAGCAGTACTGAGTTTCTGTAATAACGTGTAATAAACTGTATATATATATATATATATATATATATATATAGGGTGTATCATAAGTCACACCGCATTTCTGGGGAATGAATTTGTCAAGTCAAAATAAGTCAAAAATAAAGAATGACAAAATTACGTTTGAGCCTTCTTTAAAGAGTTGCTTTAATAGACAGACCAATGCTACAGCGAGTGATAAATTATCTTTTAAATTGTGCTAATTTGTTCATTTAAGTTAATGGCGGATTATTTGAACACCTTATGTAATTTCAACCTTGTTGTCTATTTATTAGTTAATTTATGTTATGTTTTCAACTTACAATTAAATAAAAATAAATTTTACTCCAAATAAATTTTTCGTTTATTTGATGTCACTCTTTAAAGAAAGCTCAAACGTAATTTTGTCATTATTTATTTTCGACTTATTTTGACTTGACGAATTCATTCCCCAGAGATGCGGTGTTACTTATAATACACCCTGTATATATGTATGTATATATACACACATATATATGTACATGTATATACAGGGTGTCTCGCAACGTGATGTCCATACTAAAACTTTGTATTTTTAGTGTCATTCTAAGTCGAAAAATCTTAATATACATATGCTCTAAGTCAATTGTTTTAATATTACAGCGAAAAAACAAAATTGCATTAAATAAGAACAATATTAAGAGTTTAACAAGGCTTTGTAATATAAATATAAATTTAAAGATCTAAGACAGGCAATAAGAGCCAACTCGCGGATGACAGTGCGTTATCCTAACGAAACTAAATTTTTCATCCGCGAGTTGGCTCTTATTGCCTGTCTTATATCTTTAAATAAAACAATATTATTTATTAAAGATAAGAATATTATTTATTGAACAATAATATTAAATAATATAAAATTTTTATGAATTAAAATACAATAAAATTTAAATATATTGTTATAGTCCGAATGACTATAACTATATTATATTAAATATAGTTTTAATAATAAATTAGTAAGTCGGCTATTATACAATTATTTGAGAAACGTTCTCACGCTCTCGCGAAGCGCTTATCGCGAAAAGACGCAAACGCGATGAAATATAAGCGTTACACCGAAAACCGCGGATCGCAAGCGAAGAATCAACCTGCTTCGCTTGCACCTAGATAAAAGCGTGTGAATAAAAATTAGCCAATGAAAGAGCTTCTCTACACCTTCCCCCGAAAGATGTAGAAAAGGGCAGGAGACCACCGCGAACGAAGAGCGAGGCGATGAAGTGAGTCGCTAACGAAAATCCAAAAAGTCAAGTCGCTAATTAGAACCTAACTAGGAGTCGAAGACAAGCCGCAGAATATAAACTATCACCTGTAATCTGACTATCGAGAGCGAGTATACTTAACTAACCACCCAGGTGGGATTATACAGAATTAAACCAACTCAAGAAATAAGGGAAATAAAAGATTTATTCAGATAAGCAAGCGAAGTTAGTCAAAGTGGAGACGCCCGCCGATCTTAGGATCCTCATCCTTTAGTCGACTGAGACCCCAAAATTTTCCGTGCCTTCCCGGAGGCACAACAATATACAATATATATAAAGTTCATATTTATAATAAATGCAAATTAAACTTTTCTTTAATTTACGATAATGCTTCTCTTGTATTAAAATATAGATTTTATAGTAAAAGCTATTTTAAGTTTTGCTTTAAAAAGGTGCAACACAAATTGCAAAAAAAATGTTGATTTTATATTATTAGCATAACAGTAGGTGCATAATCTTTTATTATCATTTTCCAGAACTTTGATATCAGGAGACGCGGTAGTGTCTCCGGCCATGTTCAAACCCTAAAAGACCTTAAAAGACACTACAAGTCTCCTTATCCTGCACCATCAAAGTCCATTTTTTGGGGGTGTAGAACTACTAAAATATAAAAAATTTTGAATTGCACGTAATATAACCTGAAAGGCGGCATCGCCACGAGTAATTTGAGCCAAGAAAAAATAAAATCGGTCAAGCCGTTCTGGAGATACAAGCGGTCAAAAAGTGACGTTTTTCATGAAAAATGAAGTAACGTCGTCTTCTTCTTCTTCTTCTTCTTCTTCTCTGTCCGCGTATAAATCTCTTCTCACCTTTTACTCACACCTCCCTCAACTTCCACCCACCCCTTTCCCCTCCCAATCCCGCTCCCCACCCGCCCTTACCCCACACCCCACCCCACTTTCACCC